GATAGATTTGGGGCCAAACTGATAATGAAGTTTGATTCCAGAGGTAGGTGATGAAGTCTTAAACTGATCGTGAGAAATGGGAACCTGCCAAAGTATTAGGCAAATCACACACATTGTGCTGTTTGCTACAGGAACCAACGTAGTTTAACCATAGGGCTATTTTGATGCAATATCAAAGACCTGTGTCAATAGATCTGTTGCAGAACATTACGAATTCAGACATAGAGGGTACAAGCGTTTCAGAAACCGTAATCTGCTTATGTGCTAGAACATCGCTTTCTGTTTCTCAGAGTTGCTTGCCCCTCCTTGATGCCAGCATAAAAGGAAAAGAATGACACTGATTATTTTATCCTACCAGCCACAAGGAATAATCCTATGTTTTGATAAGAGAATAATTTAAAAATGAGCAGGTGAAAGGTTAAATAAAGGTTAGTTGGCAGAAGATGAGGGTGAAAGAGCAGGAAATGAGAGATAAAAGGCTGGGGGGGTGGGGGCGGAGAGAGAAGGCAAGAGAATAAAGAGAATCAAAGAAAAAGGAAAAGATATAGAAAGAGAGGGGAAAGGCCATCAGCAATAACTGCTGTTAGCACACCGAATTGTCTTGATGAAATAAGCATGATCAGGGGTCACCACAACCTGTCTTTTTAAATTGCTCATTACAACTGTACCAGGCAAGCAATGCAGCCAGGGCCCTTCCCTTCAATATCCACGGAACAAATGCCTCCAAAATCAGCTCTAGCTAATTTCCTTAAAGACATGCAAGCTGCTAATTCTGGGAAACACAGATAGTCGGGAATAACAAACCCCACCAAAATTAGATTAAAATAACCTGCTGATAAACAAATTACTCACCAAAAATAAACATTGGATTAAGCGGCGGTGGGAGCAGGATCCCTATAATCACATCGCCATCGTGTGGCTCCCGGTGCCGAGCGGCAGCAAACGGTTTGGTCCATCACATAGCTTTCAAATGCACTTGTCCGAGTTTATACACAGGGGTCTTGTTCTCTTCCACTCCCCCAAAGGTGTGAATGGTCTGCCCGTTTTATTTATGGGGGTGAGCTCACTAAAAGGAATAGAGCTCATGGCTAGGAGTGACATGAAGGCAGTCCTCACCTTCTACCACTGCACAAACAGGGGTTTGCCCCATCCACACCCAAGCCTCCCATTGACAAAGGAGGCCTTAATGATAAGCTCCCCAGGCCTTCAGACAAACTGGAACAAGATACAAAGACAGATGTACTCAGAAGTAGTAGAATAAAGCCAAAGGAGGCTGGAAAAAGTAACCTGGGAAAGACAGGAGAGACTGCTGCTTCTGTGCCTCATTCCACTTCTGATTATGTGCAGCTATTGGTATATACCCCACTCGTCCCCACCCTGGGCTGTAGAAAGCATCTAGAAACTGAAGGATGGGTGGACAGATGTAATGCTAGAAAGCCTGACTAAGGCAAAAAGCCTTCTGATACTCTTATGGCACTTCAACGTCATTATAGATATTTACCAAGCAATGTGTATAATAATGTAGTTCAGTCAGAGGGAGTTAACACCATGACGGATAGCAGATATGAAAAGAAACAGCAAGGCAATGGAGGAAGGACATGCTACAAGCTGTTTGCTGCATGCATGTGGGCATGGCAGGTGGAGAACAGCAACTGGAAGAATACCATGCAAGGATTGGTAAAGTACCCTGGGATACTTGGAAAGAGGGAAGAGGCCAGGAATGAGAGACTGGCTGAGAAACACCTTCTCTATGTCAATAATCTGAGCTTCTACCAATAGAAAGATGCAGCACTGCAGAACTTCTGTTCCTCTGTTATTCACCGTCTCTATCACTGATCTGCGCTATGTACATGGGAAAAGGACAACCAAGGTCACTCTTGTTTTGCACTGAATTTCCAAGCATTTCTTCCTTGTCGTGGATGAAGCACAAGTAGTAGCAGTCCATCAATTATTTTTTTGGACAGGCTTGTACTTCCTTCTCTGAAACACAAGAGCAACAATTTCCCAGGTACAGTTGGAATGGTAATTTTTCCTTACACTGATGCCTTCCATCCTGGCAGATCTTGCTTCTTGCAGTTATGCATCTGCTAAGTGGGCATTAGCATCAGGAGAGAGACAGAGGCCAGAAAGTCCCTAGGCAGCCCCTGGCCCTGCAGATGGACAGTTTCAAGTAGAGCTTGTGGAAGCCTGAGGAGTTGAAGACGGATGTTTCTGAAATCCATCGGGGAGACACACTGCCATCTGCCTGCTCCCTTTAAAACGACTGCGTGCTTTCTCGTTGCAGCTTGCTGCCAAAGCAAGAGGAACACTCACCCTTCAGCACAACCTCGCGTATAACCGTAACCACCGTGATGACTTTGGGCTGAAGCACTTAAGGATATGACAACCCTATAGGGAGACACTCAGGAATGAGTGTGTTCTTTTCTCTGTTTTATAGCCTTCACCCCCATCACAACTGCCTCTCACCATCATTTTCCAGCAAGCCACCAAGCTTCCAAAAAAGCTCACAACAATCAGACCACTAATTCAGTACTGTAGCACATTCCAAGACTCCTGCCTCCCATTTGCTAAAAGGCTTCTGGCTGTCTTGATGTGCACAGTTTTATCCCTTGTTTCAAGAAGCAGTTTTCAAGTGCTATAACATTCACCAGATCTTATTTTTAAGAATCCCTGCACCATTCAAAGGCACTAAGGTCATGGGCTTAAATAAGTTAACTGTGACAAACAAAGCTGTCCTGACACAGTCATGAGAAAGAATTCAGCTCTTTCCCAGCCATAGTGAATTTATCTCTGGAAGAAGCAGAGCTGCTTTTCACATCTCCTGACCCACACCTCCCAAAAGACACAGCCTGCTCATTTGTATGTGGCTACCAGAGCAGTCCATTCCAGAAGCCTGGAGCTTTTCATGTCCTGAGAAGGACAAAGGGAAAACTAAAAGGCATTCTTGACCAGTCAGCATCAGACTGCAGAAAACTTCAAAGAACACAGTCCAGGCTGACTTGTGGGCTGTGAAGCTATATTTGATTGCAAGTACGGGCACTGTTTCCCAAATCCCAGTTCCAGTGCCTTAAAGAACATGAGCTGAAAACAGACTGTGTTGTTTTCCTAAAATCACTTTTCCATGGAAGCAGTGTAGCTGTAACAATGTTGTTTGGTTGTGAATGATAAAGGAGAAAAGGACATGTAACAGCAAACTAGGAAGTGTGTCTCAAACCAGAAATGTCTTTCCCAGTCAATGCCTTTGCAATGGTCAACAGTAGAAATGAACATGAGAATGCCCATCTGTATACAGTGATTAATCAGAGTGACAGTGGATGGGCTGTTTTGCTCAATAGACCAAGTCCTCTCTGAGTTCATTTTTGGTTTTGTACCTCCTGTGCAAGCACCTGGAACAACCAGAGGGATCAGGGTGTTCTTCCAGTACTGGAAACCCTCTATGTACTTCCTAGAGCAAGAACCACTCAAGGTGCTTTCACAACCTAAATTGGCTGGAAAGAGTCACACAAAATTCCTGAGAGTAAATAGCTTTAAAACCTCATTCCAGGAGGAAAAGGGCTGGGAGAATATGGAGCTGAATCCAAAATATCCCCTAGATCATTCTCAGCTTCCCCACTCCAACTTTCACATGTGTTTACAACTCCCCAGAAGACTACATTTCACAGCTTCCCTTGGTAATTACTCCCCCACTTCTATACACTGTTCTCATCTCTAGACCCAGAACAAGTAGAAAACTTAGCCTATAAATATCTTGGGACAACAGAATTTCACTTCCCATTTCTCGTACTTACCATAAAACAGGAGTGCAGGATAAAAGCTCAAGCTGCCAGATGAGCTTTCAGCTCTTGCTCCACTTTTCCACACTTCTCTGTATATTTCTTTCTACTCTGAAGGCTAATTTTGCTTTTGTATCGCAGGCAGCTGTGTCAGAGCCCTACAACCCCCTTATTAAGATTTAGTGCCCAAATTAGAAGGTCTTTCCTTGTTGCAATAATGTGACCTTTAAATCTAGGCAGCAAGGTTAATACTGAGGCGTTATTTCAGAATCCATCACTAGAGCTGCTGCAGCTCAGACACGATCCCGTTGCAGTGTGCTCATTTAAGCACTGCTTCCAGGGCTACAATTTTTCACAAATGCATTTATTCCTAATACTACAAAAAGGAGAAGGGGGAGGAGAAGAAAGAAAGGGGGAAGGGAGGGAAGAGAGAGAAGGACAATATGCCATTGTGATTTATTGTGGAGTAGATTGCCTGCAATAGTAGAGTGCTCTTTCTTAATCAAAGCTTTATTAAATTCTGGTAATAAAAAGCTAAGTGTTTTCAGATGGGATAAAGGCAAAAAAAAGGGTAGCATGTTTATTTCAGGAACAGTCATGCCAGCAGTACGTGACCAAGAACCCATGTCAAGGTCTTCAAGACCCCCAGCCAGCTAGCACAGATGTTAAGCACAGCCTGCCATATCAGGGCTGTACCCTGGCAATCACTGGGTCTCAGCCCTGCCTGGACGTTATCAGACCTGACAAGCTTGCAAGGGAGAATTAAGGTCATTTCTTTTGGACTGCAGGATTTTTCCAAGCCTTTGCCAACAACAGCATTGTTACCAGGTAAGCACACAGTGCAACAGCACAGGACAGACAGGTCCTGGCCTCTCCAGTGATGCTCCTACAGAGCAATAAGCATTTGTCACTGGCTGGAGAGGTTACTCACTTCTTCCACTCTACGACCCCCAGGACAGCCACTGCTTCCTAAATACTCAAATAAGAGTCTAGTCTGGCTCCCACAGCAGCTTTCTCCCTCAGACTAGGACACCATCTCCCATACAGCTGCAGGAGTCCTAGCTAGACATATAGGGAACATAAGCATCACTGCTTCTCTTCTAAGCAGGGCTTTTTGGGAATGAAGGAAGAGGGGATAGCAAGGGAGAACGAGGTTCAACAGGATCATTCCATCCAATAGCACAACACAGAAACGGAAGTCAGAAAGAATATTAAAAAGAAGCTTACTTGATTTCAGCAAAGCTGCCAGAGCCTCAATGGCTGCCCTGGGGAAAGAAGAGAAATGAAGAAATAATGTCAATTTCCTCAATAATTTTTGTAACCTTCATCTTCACAGTCTTCTGGGCCAGGCTCCCCAGATGGCCTAAACTGACAGCTTCTGATGGAATTTGACAGAATTGAAATGTTTTACACCAGTGGAGGATCCAGTCTACAGCTGACTCAGTTATTCTAAAAGACCATTAGCCCTCTAACTTTAGTGATACACTGATTTGTAGTGACCATTAAATTTAAAGCAACACCCACATATCCAAAGTAATGAAGCAAGCCTTTTAACTGCTGCCCCAGAGCTGCTTCTTTGTATCAGAGATTCGGCACATGCCCACTCCAGACATCAGCACTTCCATCTGCATCAGTAGATGGTAATTTCTGCATTAAGTTGGGACATCCATGTCAGTATTTTTGGCCAAATTCCACTCCTTTCTCTGTTTTCCCCAAACAAGCTTAACCCCTTCCATCTTCCCTCCTACAAGCTTTAACTGAAAAGAAAAACTGATTTCTTTTAATTATAATGATGTCTTGCATTGCAGAGGCATTTAAAGGCCCCCAGTCAGATAAGGACTTGCAAGAAAGATGCTAAAGCTCTATGGGAAGACTGCTAACCCCATGAAGCTTAGACAATAAGTAGCTAGAGGGGAAGAGATACACAGAGAGTTTTCTGTTGACCTTCTGTGTCAATCTCAATGTGCAGGTAAAGCAACTCAACCTGCCTCAGTCAGCATAGCCCTAGTTTGAGAAGGAGCTGGTCACTAACATTTGCATCTTGAAAAGCTGAAGTGAGGCATCCTTGTTCCTTACCATCCAGAGGCAAGTTCTTTCCTCTTGTGGTGTAATCTCCATCCCACTAGCCCCACAAAAGACTTTTTCCAGTTGTATTCTGCTGGAGCAAGAAGATCCATGTTCTAACCTGCCTTACTGCTGTTAAGTTTCAAGTGCCCACAGCTGATTAAATACGTACAGCTACAAAAGCCTCCATGCCCAAGGATTTCTTAAAATGTAATCTGTTTACAAACCAATCCCCAAATAAAATCCCATTAACTTCCATCCTAAGCCAATTATCATCCTGCAGCAAAAAAACCCAGATAATTTTTCTCACCAAGCTGCTGGTTGTGGTGTGTCGTAACAGCAGCAGAAACTAAGGAGGATTCAAGAGTTGTTTCTTGCTTATGTTGGATCAATTACCTCTGTCATTCTTTCACTCTAGGACATTCTTTTCATTCATACCTATGTCATTCCTTTGTAATGAATCTGATGACGTTCAACAACAGCATTACAAACAAACTGAAAAAACAAAAATCCACCCAGAGCATCTCCCAAAGCTCAAAGTCAAGTATTATCTTGTAAAGGAGACTGCCTTACATACCTACATCTGAAGGCTTAAGGTGGTATCTCAATCACATGCCAGAACAGTAGAACAATGAAGGAAGTACCACAGTTTTTCTTGCTCCAAGAAGAAGAGATCTAAGGATTTCCTGTAGGCATCTAGTTTATTTTAGAGGTGCTTGAGCATTGCAAAGAGTTTCCTTAGAGCTACACCACGATTATAATGTGAACACTGGCAGCAAACTTCCCATTAAACAAACAATCAGCAAAACTGTATTTTTCCAATACTTTTTTTGTGTCTGTAAAATCAGATACAAAGAGTTTCATTCATCTTCAGACCTCCCAAACCATGATCTCAGATGCATAATCTTCTATTCCCACTATCTTTGAGTCCCCATTGTAATTCCTCATCTACTTGTCCCAGAAGACCTAAACTCTTCCTGGCCATACCATAACTTACCCTTCAACAGCCTTAACCACCCCATGTCACTTATCCAGACTTGGAGGGAACTGGTCTCCTCTGACTCTGGAGGTAAGAGCTATTTGTGGTTCTGATGTGACCTGATCAGGCGGGTTTGCAACTGCTTTGCTTGTAAATCTGAGAAACCCAAGACTATCATAAAGATGTAAGTAAATCCACCCAGATGGTACTGTAGGGTGGAAAGCTCAGACATGTCCTGAAAAGAATTGAAAGTAGTATCACCTAGATCCAAGCATCACCACTCAGCAGAACCAAATTTTCATAGTCACCACCTAACTCTGAAGCAACATCATAGACCTGCAGCTCTAACTGGCTGGATTCCCCATATCCCAAGCTAACAGCCTAGATACATCCTCAGCTCAGTCCATGCCTGTACACAGTACTGCAATAAAATAAAGTGGAACCAAACTAGTACATTTCATCTCTTCAAGTACTGCAATTTATCAGAGGGATTTTGGCATAGGCTATATGTAGTGTTCTGTGCGTCCCACAGCATGTACTCTACAGTTAGTCATAAGTAGGTGTGGACCCAGTAGGCTGACCTCAATAGTATGCATTGCTTTAGAGCATATTTTGAAAGAAAAATATAATTAGAGACATGAGGGTAAACTGCAAAACAGATAAAATAGGTTTAAGGGATAAAATGGACTTAGCAAGAGTAGATCAATCCAGCCTAACTTGATATCTTTGTTTGATGAGTGATTTTTCTAGACAAGAGAAATGCATTTGATCTAATTTATCTGTACTTCAATAGAGCATTTGATGTGGTGCCGCACTGGAAATTATTAGCAAAGCTGGATTAGTGTAGGAATTTCACCACGGGTAAGGAACTGGTTAAAGAAGCAATGACAGGAGTTGTGCTGAAAGAAGAATTATTAGTCTGGAAGGAAAGTATGTGTGGAAGTCCTCAAGGATGTTTTGAGACGGATCTTATTTTATCTTTTCATTAATGACCTTGGCACAAAAAGTATACTAACAAAATCTGCTGACTGTATGAAGTCAGGAGCTGCTGCCAATAGCAGGGAGCTCAGAATACCTTTCAAGAGTAGCAGGATGTTCTTGAGTGCTAAAGCAATAGAAATGTGTTGAAATTTAATAGTCAAAGTGCAAGGTTACACATTTAGGCTTAATAGGAATTGTTATGAGCAGGGGCTCATAGTTTGGAAATGAGAAGGACACCCTGGATATATGAGGCCATTAGAGGATGAGGGCAAGCATGACCCAGTAGGGTGACAACGCATGACCCAGTAGGGTGACAACCATGAAAGGACAGATCAGGTCTCAGGAAAGCCACAGCCAGTGGAGAGAGGAAAGCATGAATTTCATACAAGGCTTCACCTGAATAGCTGTGAGCAGTGTTCAGGAGGAACCATGCAGAAGAGTGCTAAGGAAATCATTATGTTAGAGGAGATTTACCTCAAGAGGAGTCTTAAAGACCACAGTTTTGTCACTTTAGCAAAATGATGGTTAAGAGGTGACTTGATTGCTCTCCATGGACACTGTGTGAGGGAGAAGTAAACACTGAGGAAGGCAGAGAACTACTTAAGCTAAAGAACAAAGCTGGCACAAGAACAAATGGATATAAAATGGCCATGAATAAAATTCAACTAGAAATTAGAGGATGGGTTTTAAGCACTAGAAAATGAAGCTCTGAAACATCCTTTTGGCAGCAATGGGATGAACAACCTAATGACTTTGAAAAGGGAGCCTGAATTGCTTATAATGGGACTGTTAGGCTCAGTTGTCAATGAGGAAAGCATCTCAAAAAAGCAACCCATGAATGACTGTAGTCTTATATCCCCAAATTTTAATCATAGATAAAATAGAAGTGAAATGAGAAACAGGAATTCCAAGTACAAGATTCATTAACCAGACCAGAAAAGACGAGTGGCACCAGCTTAAACTGAAAAGCCAAATGGTCCAAAGGAAGCATGTGAGACCACAGCAAAAACAGTGCTAGAACTTGCAGGACGGACTCATACTCCAGCAACCTGCAGTCCAGAGATTTCATAAGCTAGCAATGGTGCCTTGGGGAGGCTTTTAAGATCTCAGTTTATTTTGTATCCATATAGTTTTCTGTGCACTTCTGAACTTATGCTAAGTTTTATCATCCATAATTACCCTAGGAAAGGAGTTCACACCTAAATTGTGTAAAGAGTTATCTACCTGCGTTTGTTGTAAGTTTGGACTTTAAATCAGCACTGTAATTTACACTTTAAGTCAGCTGTCAGCAAGTATCCTCAGAATATTATTTATCTTTGATGCTGACCAGATTCAAACATACAAAACGCCCTATGGAAAACAAGTTGCAGAAGAGAATGCACAACAGACTTTCACCAAAACCAGGAGCAAGCTTCAGCAAGCCAAGCAAGTGGTCTTTGTGATATCAGCACCTCTTAATATCACATGCAAAACCAACAGCATCTTTCCTGCTATCAGAAGATATAACAACATGGTTAAGCCTGGGACAGGAAGACAGAGAGAAAGGAGATAAATTGTGCATGAGAGCACGGATAGGAGAGAGGGAAGATGGGAATGGGAGGAAAAGTTTAAGAGCACAAGAAAGATAACTTGATGAGCCATATGCTCGACCAGAGAATTTGATAGCATGCCCAGTGTAGAACTCTGCATTTGTCTCAAAAGGGGGGGGGGGCGGGGGGGGGGAAGAAATCATTAAAAAAGCTGCCAAATCTGTCCAGATGCCTTCCTCTGATTTTTTGCTCTTTGTGGAAATACACTGGGTTTGACAAAACAGCTAAGGTTTTACTAATGTATCTCAAAGGAGATTTACTTCTATATTAAAAAAAAAAGGATGTATAAATAAAGTTGCCCCATCTTGAAATGCATTATAATAAATGCTGCTCCATAATCTCAAAACATTAAAACCTCCCTGTAGTAGCAGTCGAGACAGCCACTCTAAAGAATAGAAATCTTTGAAGTGTTTCCAAGTCAGCAGCTTGGATATCTGGGCAGAAGTACAACTAGCAGGCAGACAGACAAACGCAACTTCCAGATCCTGTGCTTAGGAAACAGGAGCAACATAGGAAAAACTCCACTTCCCAAGCCAAAGCACAATTGGATTAGCCACCAGAACTCCTTTTGTCTGGGCTGCTAGAAATCCCAGACAAAGAAACCTTATGCCTGGATCACCCTTTCAGATCTGAGCTTCCAGGATGCCATTAC